ATCCTAGAGAGATACCTTGTTGCTTGAAAAAGCAGGAAGAAAAAAGATAATAGTAAGTCGTAAGATGATCATAACCTTCCTCTGTTATAAACTATATTGATTAGGTTTAAACAGTGTGAAAAGCCATGCATCCTCATTCAACATGTTTGTGTGAATCCAGGTTTAATATTATAAGGACATCCTTTGTCTTCTAATAATATTATGATGGCATCTTTTATCTTCCCCATCCCTGCCTCTTGGCTATTCTTTTCAGCATAGGAAAAAAAAAAAAGGGGGGGGGGTAGATTTAGATCAGTGTTTTTTTTAATGAATCCAACTTACTTCTTTTGAACTTAAAAGGAACTGAAATCTGCATGATTACACTTGAAGGAAAACAGCTCAATTGGCAATGAAGTTAAACGAAATGCATTCTTCTTTTTTTTAAATACTAAGTTCTTTTAAAAGACGACAAAGAGAAAAAAATCCCAAAAATGAATCATACTGAATAAAGCAAAAGTTTACAAGCATCATAATATTGAGTTAAACATTTCCATGTTTTTCTTTTTATTTGTTTCCCCCATTCAATCATATCCGATTCTAAGAGGCTGCCTAAATAAGTCCCTGAAATTTTCTTGGCCAGGATTTTCAGAAGGGTTTGCCACGGCCGCCTTGTTAGGCCTGAAAGAGAGAGGGACTGGCTCGCGTTTTCCCAGCTGGCTTTGTGCCGAAGGCAAGATTAGAAGTCATTGTCTCCCAGTTTTCTAGTATGATGTCTTAACCCAGGGGTTCTCAACCTTGGCAACTTTAAGACTTGTGGACTTCAACTCCCAGAATTCCTCAGCCAGCTTTGCTGGCTGAGGAATTCTGGGAGTTGAAGTCCACAAGTCTTAAAGTTGCCAAGGTTGAGAACCCCTGTTTTAACCTCTCCACCAAACGCATCTCATTAATTAACTTTTAATCTTATCAAAGCTAAACTTCATTTAAATAGAAGTTAATCATATCTAAAGGTCAGCCAGCTGTGGAAGCATTCTTGTAGCTTCAACAGCAATAGAGGGAGGTAAGGTAGGAACTACCAAGCGTGATTAGAATTATATTTGTATACAGCATTGGCTGAATTTTCACAGTGTGCTAAACCATATTGCGCCTTGTTAGGTTTGACTTATCCTGTGAAAGGAATCCACTTCTTCATTCTTGTTCAACAAACCCTAACTAAACAATACATGCTTTAATGGAATATGTGACCATGAGATCAGGGATAGGTAGCTCAGATTCTCAAACTTTTGGAGGGCTCTGGCAGGTCATTGGGTGACACAATAATATTACTGGAAGAGGTAGAAATATTTCTCCCCCCCCTATTTATTATGTTGTTATAAATCTTAGTACAGTGATGGCAAACCTTTTAGAGACCGAGTGCCCCAAAACTGGCCCTGCCCCTGCCCCGTCCCCCACCCCACCTGCCTGCAGGGCTACTCACCGCCTCCAGGGCCCACTGCAGATCGTCCAGGCAGCCCAGTAGCGCCATGGCCATGCCTTCTGCCCGCGCCCCGCAGCAGCAACTGTGTGGGATGGGGCATGAGGGCAGAGTCTTGTCTACGCTGCCTGGCTGCCATGTCCTTGGCTGCACTGCTCCGTGTGGGCTACACTCGGGGGTGACTCTCCTCCAGGGGGGCTGCTGGTGAGGAGAGGGTCGCGGGGCGAGGCAAGGCTGGGGCAATGGCACGTGTGCCCACAGAGAGGGCTCCGAGTGCCGCCTCTATCACCCGTGCCATAGATTCGCCACCACTGTCTTAGTACATTATGTTGTTTCAATACACTGTTGTTTGTACAGTGTGTTTAAAGTTAATAATCTATTATTTAGATAGCTTTTAATAATAATTGAGAAAGGAATTTTTTATCAATATTACAATTTAGATTTCAATATTACGTACTTAATTTGGGCCAATTTTAAGGGTTTAAAGTAAAAAAATGGAATAGGGAACCTTTATTTCAAACCTTATTCCACTTTAGCTTTAGGAAACACTTTAAAATTGGATATTTTGCATTTCAGCAGTCAAGTCTCCGTGCTCTGGGGCTATTTATAATCCATAAGTCTCAGGTTGCACATCCCTGCCAGAGGGAAAACACAGACGTAATAGCCTTGCTAAAACAATTATTGCTGAAATTAGCATAGTTGTAGATGTATTTCACAATAAGCAGGCATACAGTTACAGACTGGGCAAACTGAACAGGAGCACCGTACAGTATTGTAAAATCATACCTCACTGTACTACTGTATATAAATTTAATGTTATA